CCCCAACATCACATTCATATGAGAAAACTGGACTTTTCACATGTCTCACTCAGTCCTTAATCAGTTGCAATATGGTTTCATGGGTCCAGGCAACAATATCAAAACTCAACCGACAAATTCTTAACCAAAAAAAGCTGCCTTTATGGTTTCACAGATTCGGACAGCACATCCAAAATCTAATCAACAAAAATCTTATTTTTTCTCACATTAATATAGCTGTTTACGAATAGGCATAAGCCATTTATGAACCACTTTTGAAGTAATACCACCTACTTGATGTAATATTGTTTTAAAAGTTTTATATGCGATAGGCTAGTATTAACTTAAATAGATATTTAATGTAATGGCTATAAACTCTTGTTTAATAAAAATCTCGCATTTTATGCTTATTTGCAGTAAAATATATATATATATATATATATATCTAAGAGTTATTTATTTTAATATTTATATAATAATAATTACAGAGGATTTTACGTTAAAATTTTCACTTTTATATTGACATATTATGATATTAATATTTAATGATAAATATTAAAAATTATGAAATCATATGTTGATGGTTGACGTCTTTGATTTATAATCATAGTAGGAAAATACAGTATTTTAATGATAAAATTATATTGTCTTACATTTAAATAAGACACATGATTAAAATTTTTTGTTAAATATCTTTTTTTTCAATCTTATTTTTTAAAAAATATGGTTATTGAAATGATAGAGAATAGTTAGGAAATTGTGAATCGTTTAGTGAATCTTATCTGGAGAGCAACTTATGAAAAGATTGTTTCGATTATTTTTAATCAAATTCAAATTCAAATGGTAACTATAATATTTGGTGATGATAAGTTAAGACCATGGGGATTAATATACCAGATGCAGTTCTTATAAGGAAGAATGTCTTTTCTCAGTTATCGAGAGAACTCGTTGTCTCAAATAAAGATAATCCTATTAATGCAGATGATTTATCTACATCGATGGTTAAGAACAAACTCGTAGATGATATTCAGGTATAATACTTTGATTGTTAAATATTTTATTTTAGTAAGTTAAATTTTGATTTTAGTTGTTTTATTTATTGATTTTGATTAGAATAATCGATTTTAGGAGGATGAAGCTATTTTATCAACAAGTGTCAATCAGAGTAATCAACCTCAAAATAGAGGAGCCTCTTTATCGACTAGTATTAATTGAAGTAATCAACCTTAGAATAGAGAAATCTTTTCATCGACTGGTGCTGATCAGAGTAATTGATCTTAGAATAGAGAAGCCTCTCTATCGACTAGTGCTAATCAGAGTAATTAATCCCAAAATAAGGAAGCCTTTTTATCAACTGGTGCTGATTAGAATAATTGACTTCAGGATAAGGAAGCCTTTTTATCAACTAGTGCTAATTAGAGTAATCAATCCAAACATGAGTGAGTTACTCAAAGCTTGAAAGTAAATAAATTTTCTAAGGTGTCAAAAGAAAAGAGAAATGGAAGAAGGATGTGATTTCACATCAATAAGGTAGTATTCCTTGATTAATTATTATTTATATTTGATTGATATATTGAAATAATAAAATTTTTGAAGCAAAGTTAAAGATTCAGCAAAATAAAGATGTGAATAATACAAATTGGTCTGAATGCAAGGAATACTATAGGAAGTGGAAGGAGTTATGTAAATTATATGGATGTTTTATATATGAATGGAAGATTGATGGGAGTCATATCCTCTTATGTGATAGTAGCTATGGTAATGGTTATCATACTTATTGTTTAAATCCTCCAATTGATAAAATACTATTTGAAAAATGGTACTGTAATAGATGTAAATCCCAAAGAATAGAATCGATATTCATTTGAATTTTATTTATTTATTTATTATTGAGATTGAAATTGATTTAAAATAATAGATTGAGTCTGAACCCTTGGAATTGAAGGGAAAGAAGGTAGTTTTGATAAGTGATAATAATCAAAATGAAGTTCAGATTCTATTGGAAAGAGATAACTTGTTAGAAATAAATTAATCTATGTCAGATGTTATGATAACATCATGTGGTCCATCAATAGATATTGATTCCCTGGGGTCAAATAATAATGTAAGTATTATATTGTTACATTTTTATATTATTATAGTAATTATTGTTATTGTATTTATTTTAATATGTGAATGTTTTTTAGGATCGACAACTTGATGAGATTCGAATAGGTAATTTCTGAAAGGTTTCTGAAAATTATCTTCGAACTTTTATTAATATATATTATATAGATAATCCAGCAAACAGGTCATATATGTTGAAGAAAATTTTTACTGATGTTACGACTAATCAATTGGACATACGTGGTGATCAACTTCTTTTAAGGAATAATTCAATGGAATTTTTTTTCACTTTGGATTTTAATTATCTTTTTGATATTGGTGATATTCATTTTTTACTTATATCTCTATTATCTTATTTAATGTTAAATGTTGAAACATTGGATAATTACTTTAAGACGTGGATTGCTCAGTATAGTAAACTTAAATTAATCAAGTGGAAGGCTGAGGAGAACATATTGAAGATGATATATGATCTCTGAAAACTATTTTTAGCATTACTTGTGATACTTTCGACTAATTATAATAGAAAAATAATAGACTATCACCTGCACCAAAAGTGTTACATGGTCTCATTGCAGAGAAGATAATGACCGCACTGTATATTGATGATAGACAAGAATAGAGATATTAGAGTGGAATGTAGAGATTGATCGAATTATTACATATGACTTGATATCTTGTGCTATTCTCGTGATGGTTCGAAT